TTTATATTTAGGTATTATTTCATGTGTTATTCCTAACAGTCTATTGTTGTTTTAGTGAGATGTAAGCACTCCGATCATTTTAAACAATATCATGCCAGCGGTTTATATTTAGGTATTATTTCATGTGTTATTCCTAACAGTCTATTGTTGTTTTAGTGAGATGTAAGCACTCCGATCATTTTAAACATTATCATGCCAGCGGTTTATATTTAGGTATTATTTCATGTGTTATTCCTAACAGTCTATTGTTGTTTTAGTGAGATGTAAGCACTCCGATCATTTTAAACAATATCATGCCAGCGGTTTATATTTAGGTATTATTTCATGTGTTATTCCTAACAGTCTATTGTTGTTTTAGTGAGATGTAAGCACTCCGATCATTTTAAACAATATCATGCCAGCGGTTTATATTTAGGTATTATTTCATGTGTTATTTCTAACAGTCTATTGTCGTTCCAGTTAGATGTAAGCACTCCGATCATTTTGAACAACATCATAAGCTGTATATTAAACTGACAGCGGTTTCTATAAGGTGTTATTTCATATGCTATTCCCAACACTCGAACCTACTTAATAAATACACGCGTTCACCATAAAGTAGAGAAGTATCTTCACAAAGTATTTCTATAGGTTAATCTCAACAGCATTAAAAGCTCGAGAAAACATTTGGTTGTTGCACGAAGTTCGGAGTACAGAATAGATGAAATAAGTCTCTATCTGAGTGTGAGGTGTTGACATTTCTCGATAAGAAACAGATACATCTGTGGATGTGGGAAAATCTTCTTAAAGAAATAAACATTGAATTTTGCAAGAGAAGGAAAACTGAGCCTAATGTTTATGTTAACATGGCAAGTAAAACGTGTTGATAAAGTGACGGAGTATCTACATTTTTATACATGCATACACCAACAAGAGTGCTTTGTCATAAACACTTTGACTTTTCATGAAACTTCACCTTTAAATTTTCAAGTTAATCGTACCAAAAGTAAACGAATCGCTTGGGCCCAAAGTCTTAACAGTACAGACCAAGAATGGCACAGTAAATAGTGTGCCGGGCTGAGTATCTGAGATTCTGTGGTTCTTCGGGTCCCACACAGAATTGCTATTTATACTCTGGAGCTATGTGTGGGTTATAAGAGTGACAGTCAAATCCAACTATTCTGACTGACAAAAGTAGCCAGTCCAGGAGTTGTAGATGTGCGGTGTTGGCTAGATGTCTTCTGTTTCAAAATTAAGGACGGTCAGCACAGATATCAGTCGTGGAGTTGTGCACGAAATCCAACAAAAACGAACATCATACGAAAGCAGACTTAACAGTACACGCCAATAAGAAGAGAGTGAAGCCTGACATTACTAACAATACACGTCAATAAGAAGAGAGTGAAGCCTGACATTACTAACAATACACGTCAATAAGAAGAGAGTGAAGCCTGACATTACTAACAATACACGTCAATAAGAAGAGAGTAAAGCCTGACATTACTAACAATACACGTCAATAAGAAGAGAGTGAAGCCTGACATTACTAACAATACATGTCAATAAGAAGAGAGTAAAGCCTGACATTACTAACAATACACGTCAATAAGAAGAGAGTGAAGCCTGACATTACTAAAAAACATAGACATGTGCCATAACATTGTCACTACAGAAACATACATATCTGCCATAACATTTTCACTACAGAAACATAGACATCTGCAATTAACATTGTCACTAAAGAAACATAGACATGTGCTATAACATTATCACTACAGAAACTTCCAGCAGAAAAAAATCAGAGACAACTGGGAATTTTGAGTGTAAAAACAAAAGTTAGAAGTTGAAGTTCACCAGCTTGTATGCTGTTTTACACGTGTCACGTTAAACAAATCATATAGAGATTTCTGCTATTTTGTTGTTTCTTCAGAGACGTAAAACGAATAATATCAAGAGACAACTGGGATACTTCTCACCTCGCAAACAGAAGTCAGGAGTCATGGTTTGTAACAGGATATCTCTCACTTAGAAAACAGAAGTCAGGAGTCATGGTTTGTAACAGGATATCTCTCACTTAGAAAACAGAAGACATGGTCTGTAACAGGATATCTCTCACTTAGAAAACAGAAGACATGGTCTGTAACAGGATAGTTCTTACCTCGAAAGCAGAAGTCACGAGTCATGGTTTGTAACAGGATATTTCTCACTTAGAAAACAGAAGTCAGGAGTCACGGTCTGTAACAGGATTTCTCTCACTTTGAAAACAGAAGTCAGGAACCATGGTCTGTAACAGGATATCTGTCACTTAGAAAACAGAAGTCAGGAGCCATGGTCTGTAGCAGGATATCTCTCATTAGAAAACAGTAGTCAGGAGCCATGGTCTGTAGCAGGATATCTGTCACTTAGAAAACAGTAGTCAGGAGCCATGGTCAAACAACTGGGATACCACTTACCATTAATGTTAGAAAAGTTCAAACAACGTATGATATAACCATTGGAGAAATGTTCAAACAATGTATGATATATCCTTCAGATAAACGCTCATACAATGAGATTTTAATATTTCTTTAAAGTGGTGATTTATCACTGTCAGTTTAAAACCTCGTACATGGAAATAGCAAACTGTTTAAGTTAGCGCTAGGTAACGAAAGTATCAAGATGCAGATACTTTTTACCCTTGAGCAACAAACTGTACATAAGATTCGAGCTTAAGAAGATAATATTTTCTAAAACAAACTATTTAACGATACACGTGAGCATCACTAATACAGAAACATACATCTGCCATAACATTGTCACTACAGCTGTAGTGACAATGTTAAAGAAACATAGACATCTGCAATTAACATTGTCACTACAGAAACATAGACATCTGCCAGTAGTGACAATGTTATGGCAGATGTCTATGTTTCTGTAGTGACAATGTTATGGCAAATGTGTAAACGAACTATCCCTGTTTTCTGACGTGAAAGACAGCTTAATGTACATAATAATCTAAACGAACTATCCCTGTCTCCAAACGAGAAAGACAGCGTAGTGTATGGAGTGATCTAAACAAAATTCCCCTGTCTCCAGACAGCTTAGTGTATGGGGAGATTTAAACAAAAGTCTCCTGTCTCCAGACAACTTTAGGTTTGGATTAGATCTTTGTTGTTGTCCTGATGCGGTAGAGTTAAGATGGCGTCAGAAGAGAACTAAAAATTATACAGAAGAACGCTGAGGATCTTATTAAATATACCATATTGTAGATATTGTGTTTAAAAATAAGAACATGACCTCTGAGAGAATGAGATGAAATTACTCCGGGAAAACTGTATATTAAATATAATCCAAGCTTAAGACACAAATGAAGAATTGTATTAGTGACACGAGTATTACATAAGTATTTGAAATCAATAAGAAAAGGTATTTCTCATAGTCATAGGTAAAAATTATCCTTTTAAGTGAGGAATTTTACAGAATCAGTTATTCTATTACAAATGAATAGATAAGATTGCAAATCATGTTGTGTTTAAATTAAAACTGTTTATATATATATATATAGTTACATAAAATTATTTCTTTAACGTCCGTGTATGATCATGGTTACACCAACATTACTACATTTCTCAAATAGGAACATCCAAACCAAATAAGAAAAATACACAAACAACGAATTTTCCAGAAGGTGCTTCTAAAAATCCGCTACTGCCGTTCCGGAACGTACCACCAGATGGCGGATGGGGATGGATGGTAATGCTAGGCATTGTTTTGAATAACGTCTTCATAATGGGACAAGTGAAGTCGTCTGGTGTTTATCTAACGATGCTGATGGACGAATATAAAGCTAACCCATCGAGGGTATCATGGGTTACCTCGTTACAATATACGTTAATAAATGTTCTGGGTAAGTCTGTTGGTATTTTACCGGTCAGCTATTTACAATATACGTTAATAAATACTCTGGGCAAGTCTATTCGTTTATCTTGTGCTACCTTCTTTATTACAGATTATTTTAATAAACATTCAGGATAAATCTCTTGGTTTACCTTGTGTTACTTTGTTTGTTACAGATTACCTCAATAAACTTTCAGGGTAAATTTGTTGGTATAACTTGTGTTACCTTGTTTCTACAGATTACCTTAATAAACGTTCAAGGTACATATGTTCGTTTAACTTGTGGCACCATGTTTGTCACAGATCACCTAAATAAACGTCCATGGTAAATCTTTAGTTTACCTTGTGTTACCCTTTTCTTACAGATTACTTTAATAAACGTTCAGAGAAAAATCTGTTGTTTTACCTTGTTTGTTACAGATCACCTAAACTTCCATGGTAAATTTGTTAGTTTACATTGTGTTACTATGTTTTTAGAAATAAATTTAATCAAACTCTGGGTAAATCTTTAGGTTTACCTTGTGTAACCTTTTTACAGATTACTTTAATAAACGTTCAGGGTAAGTCTGTTGTTATATCTTGTGTTATATTGTTTGTTACAGATCACCTAATTAAACGTTCAGGGTAAATCTGTTGGTTTACCTCATGTTACCATGTTTGTTAGAGATAACTTTAATAAATTTTCAGGGTAAATATGTTAGTTTATCTTGTGTTACCTTGTTTGTTACAGATTACTTTAATCAAAGCTCTATGTAGATCTGTTGGTTTACCCTGTGTTACCTTGTTTGTTAAAGAGCACCTCAATAAACTTGAAGTACATTTGTTTATTACAGATTACCTTAATAAACGTTCATGGTAAGTCTCGTGGTTTACCTCGTGTTACCTTGTTAGTTACAGAATAATTTAATAAACATTCAGGGTAAATCTGTTGGTTTACCTAACTACTTTCTTACAGAAAACGTTAATAAACGTTCAGGATGAATATGCTGGTTTACCTTCTGTTACTTTGTTTGTTACACATTACGTTAATATACATTAAATGTAGATGTGTTGGTTTACGATAATAAACGTACTAGGTAAATGTGCTGAATTTACTTGTGTTAGCTTGTTTGTTACACATTATTTTAATAAACGTTCACAGTAAAGCTGTTGATGTATATGTGTTACCCACGTTCTTACAGATTACTTTAATAAACATTCAGAGTAAATCTGTTGGTTTACTTAGTGTTACATTGTTTGTTACAGATTACCTTGATAAAAATTCGGGGTAAATGTGCTGGTTTTCCTTGGATTACGATGATTTTTACCTATTACTTTAATAAAAATTCAGGGTAAATTTGTTGGTTTAGCTTCTGTTAGCTTGTTTGTTACAGATTACCTTAATAAACGTTCAGGGTAAATATGTCGGTTTGCCTTGACCTACATTCTTACCGAATACTTTAATAAACTTTCAGGGTAAACCTGTTGGTTTACCTTGAGTTACTTTGTGTTTTACAGATTACTTTAATCAAAGCTCTGGATAAATCTGTTGGTTTACTTAGTGTCACCTTGTTTGTTATATATTACTTTAATAAACCTTCTTGGTAAATCTGTTGGTTTACCTTTTGTCACCTTATTTGTTACAGATTACTTTAATAAGCGTTCAGGGTACATGTGTTGGTTTACCTTGTTTATTACACATTAATTTAATATGCGTTCAGGGTACATGTGTTGCTTTACCTTGTGTTTCCAGGTTTGTTACATGTTACTTTAATAAAAGTTATGGGTAAATTTGTTGTTTTACATTGAGCTACTTCGTTACAGAATATGTTAATAAACGTTCAGGGAAAATTTGTTGTTTTAACTTGTGTTACCTTGTTTGTTACAGATCACCTAAATAAACGTTTATGGTAAATATGTTAGTTTACATTGTGTTACCATGTTTTTAGAGATAACTTTAATCAAACTCTGGGTAAATCTTTTGGTTTACCTTGTGTTACCTCTTTTTTTAGGGATAACTTTAATAAATGTTCAGGGTAAATATGTTGGTTTGTCTTGTGTTACCTTGTTTGTTACAGATTACCTTAATAAACGTTCAGGGTAAATGTGTTGGCTTATCTCGGGTTACCATGATCTCTACTTATTACTTTAATAAAAATTCAGGTTAAATTTCGTAGTTTACCTTCAGTTACTTTGTTTGTTACAGATTACCTTAATAAACTTTCAGGGTAAATTCGTTGGTTAACCTTGAGCTACATTGTTATGGAATACATTAATAAATGTTCAGGATAAATCTGTTGGTTTACCTTGAGTTACTTTGTGTTTTACCGAAGACTTTAATCAAAGCTCTATCTAAATCTGTTGGTTTACCCCGTGTTACCTTGTTTGTTACAGATCACCTAAATAAACGTCCATGGTAAATCTGTTGGTTTACCTTGTGTTACCATGTTGTTACAGAATATCTAATAAACATTCAGAAAAAAATCTGTTAGTTCACTTTCTGTTATTTTGTTTGTTACAGATTACTTTAATAAACCTTCATATTAAATCTGTTTGTTTACATTGTTTGTTACAGATTACGTTGATAAACGTTCATGGTAAATCTGTTGGTTTACCTTGTGTTACTTTGTTTATTAGAGATTACTTTAATATACGTTCAGAGTAAATCTGTTGGTTTAACTTGTGTTACTATATTTGTCACATATTACTTTAATAAACGTTCGTGGTAAATAAGGTGATCTGTAACAAACAAATTAACACAAGGAAAACACCAAATTTACCCTGAACTTTTATTAAAGTAATCTGTAAAAAACCTGGAAAAGTAATCTGTAACAAAAAGAAAACCAACAAAATAAAAATTCAGGGTAAATCTTTTGGTTTACCTTATGTCTCTTTTATTCTTACAGATTATTTCATTAAACGTTCAGGGTAAATCTTTCTGTCTACCTTGTTTGTTTGCAGATGATGAGCATAAATTAATCGACTGTTTGTCTTTTATATAGTATAGAGATTAGAATTACATGAGGTTCGTTCTTTTTTTTTTGTTCGTTTTTCAAGGTCCTTTGTGGAGTGCCACGGCCGAGATCATGGATGTTCGTATGATCATGATATTTGCCGCTATAGTTCATTCTGCTGGCCTCGTGAGTTCTTGTTACGGACCAAATGTCGAATTTCTTTTCTTTTCACTGGGAATCCTGGGAGGTATAGAATTCAAAATAAATTTAAGCAATATATGTATGTTGGAAGCCAATTTTAATGTTATGTTCTTAGACCACATAGTAATTTACAAAACATACTTATTAGGGACCCACTGAAAGTAAATAAATAAATATATATAGTAGAGACGGCTGATATTGGTATTAAAAAGCGTTAGTTTAAAAGCACAAAACATGTAACGAACGTTCGATCTCCTTAGGCCATCATCAGGTTATGAATAATATTTGAAAAAGTGCCCATTATTGATCAGGATGCCTTGTGGAGACAACAGTATTGATAGGTGTAAGATTGCAGAGGGCGTTGCAAATATTTAATCTATTGTATGGTAGTTAACATTAAGAAATAATTAATACGGCCTCTTTTTCAATCTGGTGTCACTAATCGTAGCTAATATTGTTGCGTATCTGCTTGTTTGTTAATTTCCGGTAGAAATTCTTTCCGAGGAACTCCAGCGCTACAAGTCCTTTCTTGATTAAACCAGTTTATTCTTTCTCGATACAAACTTTTAGTACACAGTAATTCCACAGTCAGTAGGTTTCTCGTCACTTTAAACTTAACAACTTTTATAATACACGCTATAAATCACAGCGATTCACTATCTCGATAGCTTCGCTCTCTACGAGTGCAAAACACACATTTTACGGCTCACTAGCTCGAAACTAACTGAATCATAAATTACACAGAACTCACCGTAACTACTGTTCGCTTAACTAATAAAGAGGCATCTCCAACATTCGCTGAGTTCCCACGATTATTCGAGAAATTCACCATGCATGCTTCCAGGTCACGTGACTTCCGCTGTCGTAACAATATTTTTATGATACAAATTTAATTTAAAGCCACGAATTCGGTTTTTACACCCACCACTATACTGGTATAGATATGTAGACGATACATTTGCCGGATTCACATCTATAGAACACGCACGTAACTTTTTAAACCGCATTAACTTCGGACACCCAAATATTCAGTTCACGAGTGAATACGAAAAAGATCAACGATACCAAAACTCAACACACTAGAACACCTAATAAATACATCCCCGTAACTCACCTGACAACCTTAACGAAGACTTTATCAAGGTGAATAAATTTCTTACAAAAACAGTCGAAAGAATTATTCACAAAAACCACAACTAACAACACAATGGACAGCCAACTAACAATCTCAAAGTCAACGAAAGAACTAACAACAGAACACTACACTACTGCATACCTTACATTCCAGATATCAACGACAAAATAACTAACATTTGGAAAAAAGTCATAACCAAACATAACATTCCAGTAAACACTAAATTCATTCAAAAACCAAGTACAAAATTAAAATCTACACCCATGTAAAAACTATTCTGACAAGCAAAATACTAAGGTTATGTATAAAATACAATGGAACAACTTCCATCATTTCTCTATAGGAGAAACAAGCCGAAAAAAAAGCCGAACAAAACAAAATCACCCATTCATGTTTTTGAATAGTATAAACATAGAAAACTCTAACATATTAAGTAGAGAAAACAAAGCAAAGAAACGAAAATTAAAGAAGCGCTCTAAAAGAACGACTAAAACCCACACTGCACCAGAACCAAGAAACACTTTTATATTTATACTAATCATTCCTTAATGTTGATCATCATACAATAGATTAAACATTTACAACGCCCCCTACAATCTTAGGCCTATCATTACTGTCGTCTCCACAAGTCGTGATCAATGACACTCACTTTTTCAAATATCATCTTAACCTGGTGATAACCCAAGGAGGTCAAAACGTTGTTACTTCTTTTGTGCTTTTCATATAAAAGTTTTCGATACCCATATCACCTGTTTCTACTATTAATAAATTCACAAAACATATCTACTATCGTTATCTTTAACTGATTATCATCTCTAGCCACACACTCGTCTATTTCTTCAAAATGAAACCTAATATTTTGACACTGACATTTCACTTTTTTCCTGCTCATTCGCAATAATCATTGAAAGTGAGTGAAAGTATTTGATTAACTGAAACCTGTTTCCAACATTCTACATGTACTTGTTGGACATGTAAATACTTATGAATTGAAACCTTTTCCAACATTCTACATGTACTTCTTGGACGTGTAAATATTTATTCATTGAAACGTTTTCCAACATTCTACATGTACTTCTTGGACGTGTAAATATTTATTCATTGAAACCTTTTCCAACATTCTACATGTACTTCTTGGACGTGTAAATATTTATTCATTGAAACCTTTTCCAACATTCTACATGTACTTCTTGGACGTGTAAATATTTATTCATTGAAACATTTTTCAACATTTCCACCTGCAATACTTAAATGTGAAAACACTTACTAACTGAAACATTTTCCAACATTTCTACGTGTACTTATTGGACGTGTAAAAATTTATTAATTGAAACCTGTTTCCAACATTTCTACCTGTACTTCTTGGATGTGTAAATATTTATTCATTGAAACTTTTTTCAACATTTCTATCTGCAATACTTGGATGTGAAAATACTTAGTAACTGAAACCTTTTCCTACATTTCTACGTGTACTTATTGGACGTGTAAATATTTATTAATTGAAACCTGTTTCCAACATTTCTACCTGTACTTCTTGGATGTGTAAATATTTATTAATTGAAACCTGTTTCCAACATTTCTACCTGTACTTCTTGGATGTGTAAATATTTATGAATTGAAACCTGTTTCTAACATTTATATCTGTACTTCTTGATCGTCTAAATATTTGTTAATTGAAACCTTTTTCCGACATTTCTATTTGCAATACTTGAACGTGTAAATATTTGTTAATTGAAACTTGTTTCTGTACTTCTTGAACGTGTAAGTATTTGTTAATTGAAACCAGCTTCCAACATTTATATTATATTTCTTGTCAGTTGAAACTTGTTTCTAAAATTTATACCTGTTCTTAAATTTGCAAATAATTTTTAATTGAAACCTGTTTCTAACATTAATATCTGTACTTCTTGATCGTCTAATTTTTTGTTAATTGAAACTTTTTTCCGACATTTCTATCTACAATACTTGAACATGTAAATACTTACTAATTGAAACCTTTCCAAAATTTCTACCTTTACTTCTTTAACGTGTAAATATTTGTTAATTGAAACTTGTTTCTAAGATTTCTACCATATTTCTTGGAGATGTAAATATTTGTTAATTGAAACCTGTTTCTAACATTTATACTTGTGCTTCTTGGCTGTAGTACAGTTTTCTTACTCAACGTAAATCTTACATATATAACAATATGAGCAATGAAAATATTTAGAGCAAGAAGTCGTGGATTCGACCTTAATATGACATGATTTACCAACTTCTTATCGTTATAATTATGCCGTCCCTTTTGATCTTCAACGTATTAAACGAAAGCACATGCCTTGGAGCTGCCATTATTATAGTTTGAATTTAGTGTTTAGCTCAGATTCAGCAACAACTATCATATTTAGAAATTGACTTTCCATTAAATTTCTTACCTGCATTGTTGTGTTCGTGCTTTCAATATTTCATTTCTTTCGTCGTCTCAGTTCAGTATTTTTTTTTTAGGAATTTCTTGTGGAATCTGCTATTTCTCTGGAGTGGTAATGGTTACAAAGTACTTTGAAAAAAGGAGAACCTTTGCTAACGGCCTTGGATTAGGGGCTACTGCTTTAGGTGGGATTGTAATTCCCTTACTATTAGAAGGATTGGTTTCTGAATATGGTGTCCGTGGAACTTTGCTTATTATGGGGGCTCTAATGCTGCATGGAATTGTTGGTGCTATGTTATGGGAGCCGGTGGAAAGACATTTAAAAAGAGAAAAAATATTCATTGCCGATACATGCTCTAAGGGTGACCTTCGAAAGTTTATCGGGCCTCGACACTCTGATCCTTTGATTAATTCAACATTTCAACGAGAACTTAAAGACATGTCGAATCAGATTAAAATTACAGAAAATGCTGAACAAGAGGAAAATAATTCTCTTATTGTCGATTGTTTGCCTCTAAGGAGGTTCACTATTGACAATGTTGATCTATCTTTATTATCCAAGGAAATGGAAAGCAACACTCGATTAAAAACACGTGATTACCAGCCCACTATGTTCACCAGCATGATCGATCTTGGAGGAACGGTTGGAACCATCAACTCAGAGAAACTGAAAACAAAGGGTCTTGAATTTTTTTTTCTACACTACAAGAACCTGTTCGACTTGTCACTGTTTTCGTCCTTACAGTGGTATCTCCTAACTACGACGTTCGTTCTTACACTGACTGGATATCCTGGAACCCATATATTTCTTCCTCTTCGAGCTAGGTACGCCGGTTTGAGCTCTGAACAAGCGTCGTTTTTGCTATCCGTCATGTCCGCAACAGATACAACAGCAAGAATTGCGTTTTCTTGGCTAGCAGATCGAAATTTCTGCCCAAGAAGATACTGGTATATTGGAGGTGTCATGTCAGCCGGAACTGCATGTATTGCTTTTGTTTTCACAAACACTTATTTGAGCATGTTGGTTACCAGCTGTCTAGCTGGTTCTGCATCTGGCTGTTATCTTCCACTGTTGTTGCCCATCTTTGGAGAAGAATTTGGAAGCAAAAGACTAGCTACAGCCTATAGCTTATCGGCCTTGTTCGCTGGCTTAGTTGTTTTGGGAACCATCCCATTTCTCGGTAAGTAATTCTTTTGATTATTCGCATACAAAATCTCATTTTAAAAGTTTCGTTATGAGCACAACTGCTACAAAGATATAATATTACTTCAAAAGTTATGTAGAAAACAAACTTTCAATAGAAGCAAAATAAGAAAGGGATTAAATTCTATATCGAAACGAAACACTGAGTAGAAGATAATCAAATGATTAGTTTTAACTAATTTATACTAGACAATGAACAAAACTTGTCTCCATTAGAAAACTTTTGACCACAACCTTTACCATCTTCGATGATTAAAGACTAGTTTTAACTAATTGATACTAGACAATGAACAAAAACTTGTCTCCATTAGAAAACTTTTGACCACAACCTTTACCATCTTCGATGATTAAAGACTAGTTTTAACTAATTGATACTAGACAATGAACAAAAACTTGTCTCCATTAGAAAACTTTTGACCACAACCTTTACCATCTTCGATGATTAAAGACTAGTTTTAACTCCACTTCTGAAATAAGTTTTTGTTCTAACTAATAACCACCATGAAACCATTTTTAATGAGAAACAAAATGACACTCTTGAAATTACGATTCTTACGATGATCTGAATTTTCTCAGAAAATTACAGTTGAAGAAAAAGCAAGAGGAATAAGATCGATATATCAAACAGTATCAATCAGTAATTTAGGGAAACACTATATGAAGTGTAAACACTGATGCATAGTGTTATCTAATAAAGCAGTCCTAACAGCTACCGTACTAATTAACACAATATTCCTAACAGCTAGTAAATTAACTAAAAATGCAGTCCTAACAATCACCAACTTAACTAAAGCATAATTCCAAACATCTACCGCATCAACTAACACATCAGTCCTAAAAACTACCACATTAACTAACAAAGCAGTCCTAACAGCTACCATATTAATTAACAAAACAGTCCTAACCGCTAACACATTAACTAACATATCAATCGTAACAGCTACCACACTAACTAAAACAGCAGTCCTAATTACTGTCACATCAACTAACACAGCAGTCCTAACAGCCACCATACTAACTAACACGGTAGTCCTAACAGTTACCGCATTAACTAACACAGCAGTCCTAACAGCCACCATACTAACTAACACGGTAGTCCTAACAGTTACCGCATTAACTAACACAGCAGTCCTAACAGTTACTGCATTAACTAACACATCAGTCCTAACAGATACCACATTAATTAACACAGCAGTCCTAGCAGATACCATATTAACTAACACAGATGTCTTAACAGCTACCATAGGAACTAACACAGTAGTGCTAATGGCTACCACATTAACTAACACACCAGTACTAACAGCCACCATATTAACTAACACAGCAGTCCTAATAACTAACACATCAATCCTTACAGCTACCATACTAACTAAAACAGCAGTCCTAATAACTATCTCATCAACTAACACAGCAGTCCTAACAGCTACCATACTAACTAACACAGTAGTCCTAAAAGTTACCGCATTAACTAACACATCAGTCCTAACAGTTACCGCATTAACTAACACATCAGTCCTAACAGATACCACATTAATTAACACAAGCAGTCCTAACAGATTCCATATTAACCAACACAGCAGTTCTAACAGCTACCATATTAAAAAAAAACAAATTAGTCCTAACAGCTACCATATTAACTAACACAACAGTCCTAACCACTACCACATTAACTAACACAGCAGTCGTAACAGATACCATATTAATTAACACAGAGGTCTTAACAACTACCATATGAACTAACACAGTAGTCCTTACAGCTACCATACTAACTAAAACATCACTCCTAATAACTACCACATCAACTAACACAGCAGTCCTAACAAATACCATAATAACTAACACGGCAATCCTAACAACTACCGCATTCACTAAAAGTGATAAAAATATAATTCTTACAGTTTTTCTTAAATTGTTTAAATTTACTGTCTATATCGCAGTATTAGAAACTGTATTAAAATATAATATAATATTCACATAATTTTCATCAAAGAATGTCTTTGAAAGCAAGAAATGCATGATTATTTTACGTGACTAAATAATGATACATCTTTTTGTTTAGGCTACCTGGTGGACATCACCGGAAGCACAACACTGTGTTATAGCGTTCTGGGGGCCTGCTTGTTGACAGCAGGATCTTTTGTTTTTCTTAGTCAGCTTCTATCGACAAAAAATGGTAATCTAAACAAATTGTAAGAACAGAAAGGATTCGCCTTAACTAAAATAAACATCACATAAAATTCTATTTAATAAAATACTCATAATGTCTAGACAATGTTCACTTGGACATGAGACAAACTTGGGACGTTGCCTGGACAGCATAGTGTCTTGATCTTCTCCGTTCGTAGATAGTTCTTTATATGAAACAATAAAATAAAACGTATGATGTTTTTAAAATAGGCTTAGAGTGAAAATTCCTCTTTATTTCACGTCTACTGCATAGAGTGTATGAATATTACATTAGTTTTAGCTCTGTGGCATGGAGCAGAGTCATTCTGGTATATTCACTGGTCGTCCCCATTGTTAGTTTTAACCAAGACACACGAATTTCAATCTTGTCAGTACCAAATGCGGGCGTCCAACACCCTGGCGAGAGATGAATCCCCATATCACATGATCCTACAGGTGCTTCCTGTTGCATTCAAACGCTTTGCCTCTTACAAAGTGCTTCCCATCAGAAGGTTCACCTGAAAATATTATATTGCTACAGGTTTCTTCAGTTCAATCAACATGTTCTTTGGCACAGCCGAGTCTCATCTTTATCATCTTGTTGATGAGGAGGGTTTCTTTCTTAGTTGAGAGACCGACTGAACACAGGCGAGACTGTGGTGACAGTGATCCTTGAAATTTTCTGCCTTTAAGAGCTGTGGACGACAGTTGACAATTCTGTAGGCTTATGAATTTCAGAACATGGTCATCAGCTGCTGTGGAAGCTTTCTTCCTACCCTTTCCTTTGTGCTGCTCCTCAAAGTCAGTCTCTCTATATCTATGCACCCTGCGGGTCACGTTAGACTAGTTATACTTAATTCTGTCAGCAATCTGCCTAGTCGAAAGTCCCTCTTTGCTCAAAGAAACAATAACTGTTTTGTATTTTTTATTTTTCGTGGAGTTAACTCTAACCCTTGGCCATGGTAGCATCACGTGTACGTGATAGCAATAGGTTTTTTAACTGACTTTAAGCTAGAATCACTATTTATAGACATAAAACGGCTGGTGCAAAACCCAGAGTCTGTAAAGCTGATGATGTTATGATTAGACATAATTGCATCATTCATGAAACACTACTTGCACCTACATGCATTAGAGCTTCAAAACAGACGATGATTCTGAAGAAAAGTGTGAAACAAATTGGGTGATGTAATAGATTTTTCCACCACTGTAATAGCAAATGTAACGTTTCTACAATTGGTAAAACGGTTAATAATAAATCTGACATTTCTACATTTTTTAAGAAACTAATAACAAGTCAGATATTTCTACATTTTGTAAGAAATATATAATAACTCTGTGGTTTCTACAATTAGATTGAAGGCTAACAACAACATATCATTTCTACAAATTTTTAACTGTATTACATGTGTTTTACAAAGGCGGTTGGTGTTGCTAGGGCGAATGGTGTTTCTATAAACGGGTAGTTCAATAGGGTGATTACGTCATCAACATTGTAGTTTTAATTTCTACATTTAATTATATATAATAAAAAGTTATAAGTAAAACTATTATTTTAACGAGACAACTATTATACCATAGTTTATTACATATATTACAACATAGACAAATATTAATTTACTTTACATACTTTTACATTTATTTGTCCAGAAAGGATTTTATCATACCTAATGTTTCATTTTTATAAATATTGAACGCCACCGTTATATTATTTTTCCACATCTTATTGTGTTTTTGATGATATTGTTACGTCTCCGTTTGTTAATTAACTTTCCGTAACTTCGTTCCGACGAAACTTTAGCGACACAAGTCCTTACTTAATAAAACTGGTTTATTTTTTCCGAATACAATTTTACGATACACTTATTTTCAACAATCGCGCTAAAACAAACGACTATATCAACGAACGTC